GCAGTATTTAACATGTTAGAACAGGGTTAACAAAACCAAGTTCACGCTTAAAAGTTTCAGAACCCTGTACAATGACTGACTGCTCGGTGACTTTGGTCAGTTGTCTTATCTTATCCCAAGATTTAATTTTAGAGGCTGTGATGAACTGCGGTGAACTAGAAAGGAGCGGACATTTTTTTTAATGAACTGAAATTCTTATAATCTACCGATGCATCTTAGAGTGATAATTAATTCGGTGTATTATTAGTGCATTGCTCCACTTCAGTCCACAGTCATTTTGTGCAAATATCTAATGCACATTGTATTCATAATTTCAGCAGAAATATTTAAATTCCTCAGACCATCTCAATATTAGAAATAAATTGCCTCAGAGTATTATCTGATTAGCAGAAGAGCCATTTAACTTTCTGTTGTCCAACCTAACTAATTTGGACTCTGCTCTGTGGTTATGTAACCTAGTCTGACAGTATCTACAGCCGATTTATTTCCACTTCTCCTCTATGTCCTTTGACAGGCTAAACATATCTTTGGAGAAATACCCAGAAATAACTCAGTTTTCTTTTCACATAGCCAAGCCATATGGTTAGTATCTGCACTACAAACAATCATCCTGCATGTGACAGTAGGATTCACAGCGCAGATGATACAGACTGTTTTCACAGTCAGCTCAGCAGCCACAAGCCTCAGAATATGCCTTAACCACACACTTTGCTGAAAAATGTTTTGGATTGTGCCTCTTGCTGTAAGCCACATTATGTAAGTGCTGAGTGTGAGGTGTCACAAGCTGGCTGGGAGCCAGTATGGTGCTGTGGATATTTGGTTGTGGGTGTAGGTGTTAAAAATATCTTGTATGAATAGCTCCTCCGAGGATATAAGCTCAGAGTGCAACAAATTATCATGCACCGCTGCTGTGATTGTGTTGTGAGATGCAGTGATGTAATGTATGATGGCTGAATCTACCTGCTAACTCATAAAAATGTCTATAAATTAATTGGGTTTTGATAGAAAAATTCTGTTGCTTAGTTATAAAGCGCTGGAGCGGGCTATTTTTTTTGCTAAATTCGCCTTAATATAAAGCAACATAATATAATGAAACAATATAAACATCTATTAGTTTTTGTGTTTTTGTTTTTTAAACTTATGTTATCTAAATTTTACCAAGAAAAGAAATGCTAACTTAAAAAATATACTTTTAAAAAATTGGGTAAACCTTTATGGAATGCAGTCATATCCGTCATACAATTGCTGATCAACATTTAGGAAGTTTTTATTAATGTTATGACAACACATCTTTGCGGGTGACAGGATGCCTTGTCATCCATTCAGTCTTAAGCTCTCTTCACTTTTTGTTAGGATTTAAAGTGGTTAAAAAAAAAACTAAAACCATATACTCATTTTAACTAAGCCAAGCATTCTTCCTGATAGTGTTTACTTTGTCCTTTTTAAACATTAAAATTATTTTTGCTCTAGGAGGATCGCTAGACGCGTCCGTTTTTGAAAGTACTTCCTAGTTTACTAATTGCATGCAATGTGCAACATGGTACCTCTGGGTAGGTGCTCTATTTGAGGTAAATATGCTTAAATTTACTAACAAATGGACCAAATAAAAAAAAAGTGAACAGAAATAATGAGCTTCAATTGGGGAGCCTTTGTATGCAACCAGACCAAGCTACTGCTGTAGAAATGTCCTCTTAGAACATGACAGACCCCTTTAAGCCAGGACTCTGGTAGGGCAACTCCAAAAAGTTTTATGCATGTCATACCCTCGTAATTTGCAAGCATGCAATTTCAGCAGGGTTGTTATTAGTCTGTTTTTTCCTTCTAAAAAAAAGATGACCATGTTTCTTTGGTAGTTTGACAGTAACTAGTTATATAATTACATTTACTTAAGTAACTTTTTGGAAAACAAATGAGTAATTTTAAATAACTATACATTTTACTTTTACTTGAGTTTTACTATTTTGCAGTATTGCTTCTCTCACTTAGGTGGAATTTCATGCTGTTCTACCCACCTTTGCTTATTTCACAGAATGAAGATCATACATGTTTGGGCCAACAATGCACAAAACAAAAACACTTCCAGTCTAAACTCCAGTCAGACTTCTTGTTTGGAAACATGCTCCCCTGTTTTGATGTTATTTTGTATTTGCTGAGTCTGCTGAACAATTTGAAGGGCAAGCTCTATTTACCATTTATAATAAAAACAAATAATTTGAAAATGAATTTCTTCTCCCTGAAAGTATGTTCTTTTTTGTAAAGATAAGTATGCTACACTCATTTATTAGTAGATTCTTTTAAATCTGTAAAAACAGTATTTCTTTGTTTCTGATTACATTTTAACAAATTAAATCAGCCCTTATATTTTTTCATTATTTACCTAGTACCACATACTTATATAGTCCAACTTTATTTATGTTTGAATGGTCATATTTTACCTTTATTTGAGTAAAATAAAAAATAGGTATATTGTAGAATTGCTATTCCGCCTGTCAACCCTACCAACCCTATCTAGCTTAAACACACAGTCATGTCCAAGTTTAAAAAAAACAGGCCCAAACTTCCACTCTTAGAGAAAGTAAACTATGATAGAAAGCAGACAAGGTAGCAACCAATACAAGCATGGTGGAGTTAGCATCATACTTTAGGCTGGTTTATGCTTTACGCTTCTGCAAAGTCTGAGTCGAAATATTGTAGACAAGAGACAGTTCCTACTGGTTAAGGGTGACTAATATAAACATCTATAGAAAATCTACAATTTAGCACTTAAATCTTATCACAATCAACTGAATCTCAACAACTGGTGGTGAAAAATTTGTGATTACATTAAGAAGCATTGAAAATGAAACAACTGCTGAAAACTGTGGTATCGTTGGAGGTTTATAGCAGACAATATACCCACAGTAAAAACTGTTTTGGGTAATGGATCAAGAAGAGAATCTTTATGGAATGGCTCTCTGCTTTGAACCTATTCTCAAACAATGCATTATGATTAAAGACAGGCTCCATACCACCAATCCTAAATGTATAAAATAATTCTGCCAAGAGGAATGGACGATGGAACACCAAGAATTATGCCAAAAAAGTGTTGCTTTCCGCAACTTAATAGGATAATGAATAGAGGTGAGTATTGGCATGAGTGTTGCGATTCGATACATGGCGCGATACTTGGGTCACGATACGATATTATCACGATATTGCTGTAGCACTATATATTGCCATATTTTCCCCAGCTATCAAAATCAAATGATGAGATAAAACAGCAAGTGCTGTATATTTTCATCAGAAAATATTGATTAGGTATTATTATCCATGTTGTTTGGGGTTTTCTTCCACTGTGACTGCCTCAAATACAGATTTGGTGCTGCACGCACAGTTAAAGGCCTCCACAGCGCTTTCTGCCAGAGTGGTGGTGCAGAGGTAGCCCATTTTCCCATCAATGTTTTATGTAACCATTTTTTTAAAATAGATACTAAGAAGTGAAAGATTGATATTATATTGGGCAGCCGAATATCACGATATATCGCCAAAACGATTATTTCCCACACCCCTAATAATGAATATAGCAAAATATGCAGGAATATTCAGGAATATGCAGAAACTGCAAGTTCTGTACCAGCTTTTTTCCTGCTGCCATCAGACTGTTAAACTTTTGAAACTCTAATCAAGTCAGAAATCGAGACTGCATCACACTTGTAAGCATCATTTGCACCACATGGGGAATTTTCAAATACCTTTAAATAGAGCTCAACCCAATGTTTCTACTGCATTTGCTCTATATTCTTCTGATCACTGGTGCACTTTAAAAATGGAAATGTTAATTTCACTGTACGCTGCTCACTTACTGTTGAAAAGCTGTATGCATCTAAATTTTGTTTTGTATACACTGTGATTACAAAATGGCAATAAGGTTTGTCTTAGTCTAAGTCTATTTAAAATTCTTATTTTAAAAAGGAAGGTATTCACTTGCATTTGACATTATTTCAACATATGCTCAGAAGGAGTGCAGGTAAAATGTCCATCCACAACTTTGGGTTAGTTCAGAGAATATCTGGGGTAAAACCTGCAAACTTTCCACTTGGTCTGAGGAAAATATACATTCACTTTTCATACTAGCTGATCTCATGGACTCCTGCTCCTCTTTACACTCTTTTTATTGAGCGATGTAAACAGAGAGAAATTTTCCTCTGCTTGTTAAACCATCTTTCTAGTGCCAAATGCTGCTCAGCACTACCTTAAATGCATCCATTAAGCATCCAAAGCTCACTTTTCCTGTTCCACGCCTTCAACTTTTTAGACATGGTTAAATTTAATATACTAGAAAGTCTTGGATCAGTAAAGCCAGTTTATTAGAGTAATTATGAGTGCTACACAACACTGGTGTTACTATCTTCTCCTGCTTGGACCTGAGGGGGGAAATTTTAACAATTATAAATAAGCCTTTTGGGGAAGAACTGTCTACTGGGGAGAAAAAATTAAACCTTAATTTACTAAAGAGCTATATAAAAATAGTATCATTCAATATACTGTTGAAATTTATTACAAGTTAAAAAAAATTATAATAGGAAAATGCATGATCTGTGCTGCAAAGAAAAAGAGTCCAGATTAACATAAGATTAACATTCATTATCAAATATTTTCTATTCTGAGCCAACTTGATATACCAGATTGCCTATATATTAAAGGTTAAGCTGTTTAGCCATATCCCCTACAAAACAAAGTAGGTATTGAATTTAAAAACAAATCGATGAGCAATAATATACCAACTTTAGCTTTCTTACCCATCAACAGTATAAAGCCATATATTTACACAATGCACATCACTGTAGGAGCCATACTTTCCTATGAAAACATGTAAACTAAATAATCTCACTGCATCTCTGTACCTCCCCATGCATCTGCCGCCCTGGGCAGAGAGCCACATCCCAGATATTAAAAAACAGTACCTTTAATGCCCGTTCAATAGAGACTTAGAGTTGAAACAGAAGATGAACGTTACATACCTTGGAAGACATCCACATGCCGATTATCTTATGTGCTCTGAGATAATCAAAGTCCTCTTGAGCAAAAAAAGAAATAGATTATATGTATCTTTTTGTGCACAGAGTCCAGCAGAAAGGAGGGAAAGATGCTCATAATCTCTCCTTTGAAAGAGTTCCACGTCAGAGTCTTTTATGCCGTAACTTCCCGTCTTCATCTTTGTAAAGGGATACTGTCATTTTGAGGTGCTCTTAATGAAAACATGTTTTAGACTAGGCTTTAGGATGATCCGTAGAAAACCTGGGTCTGAGTGACTTCTCCAGCCATTTTAAACAATGATGACTCCTGTGCTTAGCTCTCATGGTGGGTCTTTTTATTTTTGGCCTCTTATGGAAAAGCTTATTTCATTATAGCCCTGGTTCATTTAATGCCTGCTTTATGATCTCATCAATGTGTAGATAAGTTTTGTTTGAGTATATTAAATGGACATTGATTAAAAACCTTCTCTCTTAGGCTTTTTATATAAAATAGCTCAGAGTTGTTTTTTCTTCTCTGGCAGCCTGTGTGAAATAGTTTCCCAATTTTCTCTACTCATACAGTCTGTATCCAGGTGAGCAGAGTGTTGCCATCTGTATGGCCTACAGTTACTGTCTCTAACCCAGCGCAAATTCTACATTATAGTGCAAACAAATTTAAACTTTATTGCATAACAGCAAAACAAACGACCGTCTCTATCCCCTGTAATGTGACAGATGAAAGTCATAAAGTGCGAATGCATAGCCTGGTGCCTAATTCAGATTCCATGTCAGATTTGGAAGCCCACACTGAATGAACGGATGTTTCTGAGTCTATCAGGCAGATAGAAACTCTCCATGCCAATTGATCCCCTATGAGGGTGAATGTGTGCATATGAGAGGCGTGCGTAAAACCCATAGGCCTATTGAGGGGGGATGTTATTCAGCTGCTGTTGGGCAGGAAGTGTCTTTAATCTGATGTTGTTCTTATTTAGAAAACAATAGGATAAAACTTTAGTCACACGTCAGTCTGAATTGATTTAGAGTTTGTACTGTTTTTCCTGCTTATGTCTGTGCCGTTTCCTTTACTGGGGCTCTTGTCCAGCCCGCAGAGCGACTCCGTCACCCCCTCCTCCATCTCCATGTAATCCCCTTTGTCACCCATCGAGGAGCCAGAAGGAGAGCCTTTGAACTTCCTTAGAAAGTCTGGGAAATACGGGCAGGCGGGCGGCATGCTCTCCACCACAGGAGACTGGTCCTCGTTGTCGGTCTCCCGGTGGTAAAAGTAGTTAAAGTTGGACACTATGACGGGCACCGGGAGCGCGATGGTCAACACGCCCGCGATCGCGCACAGGGAGCCCACTATCTTCCCACCGACTGTGATCGGCTTCATGTCGCCGTAGCCCACCGTGGTCATGGTAACCACGGCCCACCAGAAAGCATCCGGGATGCTGGTGAACTGTGAGGTGGGCTCGTCAGCCTCGGCGAAGTACACCGCGCTGGAGAAGAGGATGACGCCTATGACCAGGAAGAAGATGAGGAGAGCCAGCTCCCGCATGCTGGCGCGCAGAGTATGCCCCAGTATCTGCAGCCCCTTGGAGTGCCTGGACAGTTTGAAGATGCGGAACACCCTGACCAGGCGGATTATTCTCAGGATGGCAAAGCTCATCGCCTGTTGCCCGTTGCCCTGATGCTGCGCCAGATCCGTGCCGAGGGTTATGAAATAAGGCAAAATGGACACGATGTCTATGGTGTTCATGATGTTTTTAAAGAAAGCGGGTTTGCTGGGGCTCGCAAAGAAGCGAACTATAATCTCAAAGGAGAACCAGATGATGCAGACCGTCTCCACGATGAAAAACGGGTCGTTGAAGGGCGTAAATCCGTGGTCGGGCTGAGAGGAGTTCAGCCGTGGCTGGAGGTACTCTTTTTCATCCCTGAATTCCGGCAGCGTCTCTAAGCAGAAGATGACAATTGAAATGACTATAACCAGGACGGAGACCACCGCTATCCCTCTGGCAGGAGTGGAACTCTCCGGGTACTCAAAAAGCAGCCAGATCTGGCGCTTGAACTCGTCCTCAGGCAGAGGTTTCTCCTCCTCTTTCACAAACCCTTCATCCTCCCGAAACTTCAGGATTGCTTCCTCCCCGAGTTCATAAAACTTTACCTCCTCTGAGAAAATGTCAAACGGGACGTTGGCGGGTCTTTTTAACCGCCCTCCTGACTGGTAATAGTAAAGAATAGCGTCAAAACTCGGCCGGTTCCTGTCGAAGAAGTATTCGTTCCTCAGCGGGTCGAAGTACCTGATCCGCTTATCGGGGTCTCCAAGCAGGGTGTCCGGGAACTGAGTGAGAGTCTTGAGCTGAGTTTCAAACTTCAGCCCCGACACGTTGATGACCACCCGCTCGCAGCAGCCGCAGTAGCTGTAAACGTTCTCGTATCCGGACTGTGGTCGCCTGTCGGTGATAGACACCGTCTCCTCCTCATCATCCATGTTGCACAGAAAGCTCGACCTCTTGCTCCCCCGGCCACCCCCCGCTGCCTCTCCCCCTTCTACCAACTCCTCCTCCTCTTCCTCGGCCTCCTCCTCCTCTATCATGATGTCCTCCTCGGATCCGAGCAGCGCCAGCTCAGAGTGGCGCAGGTCTCCACCGAGATTCCCCCGGTTGCGCCTCCACCGACCGACGCCGCGCTGCTTTTTCCGCTCTCTGAGAACTCTGTGCTGCTGTTGCTGTTCGGGCTCCTGCTGTGAGGAGGAGGAGGAGGGGCGCGAGGCGGCGCCGCTGCTGCTGATGTTGGTGGAGGAGGAGGAGGAGGTGGCGGCACGCGGTTGATGCTGGCGGTTGTTAAGGAGATGAGAGCCCGAGGAGGTGGCGGAGGTGGCCCCCCCTGCACCTCCCTCTGCACCGGAGCCTCCTTCGCTCGATGCAGCCACAGCCGCCGCTCTGGTCTGAGCGACCTGGCGCTCTCTCTCGCGCTCCCTCTCCCGCGCGCGAGCTTGGGCATATCCGTACGGCAGGTGACTGTTGCACCCGCCGTCCGCACCCACCATGGCAAACTCCATTTTTCTAAATCCGAGGTTCGGTCTAGGAAGGCTACAGCAGCCTTCTCAAGGTGGATGCAGACCAGTGGATAAAAGTTGCAGTTCCGTCGCGATGCGCAGAGATGATGAGACATCAACCGTTTAGAAAGTCAGACGCACATCAGTGAGGTCCAGGTTGACTGGAGCCCGCTTTGCTTCTTACATGATAAAAAAAAAAAACACTGATGAGCATATCTTGTTGCGCTCGGTGTATAATTCATGACATCATTACCATAACCAGAAAACACCAGGGCCGTGGCATAGCCTGTTACGCAGACGCGGTGTCAAACTTGCAGCGCCCTTTCTATGTTCAGCATGATAAATCACCGAGACATCAAGCGACACCCAAACAGTCTGTGCTCAGTTTCCTTGATGCCCATCAGGTGGTTAATTTCACCCCAAAAAAAGCATCTTTTGATCCTCCGCGGTCGCCCATGGTTACCATGATTGTTTTAAAGGATCTTCGCTCTTACATGTTGGAGCTCCGATTAATCTGATCGACTTTGCTCCTCCGATGCGCTCAGCAGCTGGCAGGAAGAAAAAAAAAGAAAACACCAATAGGTTTATGCCAAAAAAAGAAAAATAAATAAAGGATCCGTTTATGTTAATGTTATTTTTTGGGTGAACAACCCATATTACACAACTTAACCGCTCTATTAGCCTACTATAATTGGCATTAGTAAACAAACATTCTAGATCTAAAGCAATATATTTGCTCACAAAAAAAATCTTTTCATAAACATTTTTAATCTTTAATCCATACTTACATTTTAAAAAAGGGGGGCAAAAATAAATCGCCTCCTCCCACTAACAGAAGAGGAAGGATGCTGGGTGAGGATGCAGCTCTCCTTCTGCGCTCATCCCCCCGTCTTGATTTTGGGGTGTAATATAACAAATCCCTCGTCGTATCCAGCGGGCGACCATATCCACATCTACGTCCAGTAAATACATCCGCGCTCTGACGCACTCTGAGGAGGACACTTTTTTTTTTTTTTTTTTGGCTACGTCTCGACGCCTTATTCCAATTCAACAGGATCTAGTGGCACCTGATCCCCCGTATGTGCTGCATCGCTCCTGATATACCGTCGACAACAATCATGACAACAACAACAAAAAAAAGAGAGAGAGAAGGAGAGGGCATAACCAGGTGTGCCAGCAACGAGTTGGCATCAGAGACAGTTCCATTCGATTGCAGCAAAAAGAAAAGAGGGTTAATAAAAGTTTATATTGGCACAGGCGAGGCTGGATGAGCCCATGGTTGAGTCTGAGCATCACACATCTGTCTGTCTGCTTTAGCTCTACCTATACTCCCGTATCCCTCCCATGATGTGTGATGATGGAGAGTCTAAGTGAGGAAGTCGATCATGTACCGCAGCGCGCGCAGACGGTGCTCGGTCCTCCCCCAGTGGATGCGGCCGGTCACTGCGCACCGCTCTGCAGTCTCACAGCCTGCTCTGTCCTTCATAAGGACGCAACCGGTGGCTTCTCTATGAAAAGTTACGCGTTACTTTGCGTTCATCCCAGCAAAATGAAGGTTGCTGTAGAGCATGATGCCCATCTAATAACCCTTTATAGGGCAAGTTACCATTTTTGATCACTTGCATAGCCCTTACAAATGGAGTGCAATTTATTTCACTCTCAGGGTGTTTTTCATGAATTCTTATAGAAGCACTTTTTTTATTTTTCTTAATTTATATGGGGAAGTTGGCGTTTCTTGTTATTACATTGACATTCATTTATGCCATCAAAGCACTACAAAATTGATCTATACATTTGTGAAAATGTCTTAAAATAAGTGCATTTACCTTTAATTTGAGTAGGTAAATAAGAAAATCTCCCAGTTGAAGGAGCATTGTTATCCTTAAAATCAGATTATTTGATATTATGCACTTCAAATAGGAGACTGCATTTATTTCCTTTATTTTAAATGTAAATTTTCTTATTCCATTTGCAAAGTATCTCACCCGCTCAGTTCAAGAAAAAATGCACTAATTTTAAGAAAAACCGATTTACTTAGATTTCAGTTTTTTTGCAGTGTACTCTTTGCTTGAAATTTAGATAGTCTTTCACTGAATGCTCTATAAGGGTTAATAAATAAACATAAATCGTTGGGGGGTCAGTCTGTTTCCATAATTCTGGTCAATTTAAGAGCCTCTTGTGTTCATCTGTATTTGATCTGACTCTGTACTGATCTGCAAATGTAGGTTTTATTTTTAAAACACAGATCTAACCTTTATCTGGGATTCCAAAGAAAGGTGAAGTAGGTAAAAAAAAAATTTGACTATTTTTCAAGGCTGCACTTTTAAAAAGATGAAATTGTCCAATGAGCTGTTTCCAAACGAAATTTCTTTTTGTTTTACACTTGTGTCAAGAAATAGACAAATAAAATCTGTCTAAAGTCTATAAAGTATAAAGTAAAAGGATGTATTCTTATAGTTTAATAGAGTTCTAAAAACAGCCAAGGTAATAATAAAAATGTTTTTTATTAAATCGATACTTTGTAATAATTCAAATGTAATAATATCTGTTAATCTGGCTTTATAAGCTATTAAAACAATTAAAGGTCAGGCTCCAAAAGACTTTTCGTGCTGATGTTGAAGAAAACTTTTTGGGAAAGAACTTGACTCTTCAATCACTCAACAAGTAACACACTACAAGTGTTCACAGTTAAAAGCTGCTTCATTTACTAGTTTTACTATTCATAAAGAGCAGGCAGTATTTTAGAAGTATTTCTTAAAGCTTTGAAATTCTTTGCATACATTAGAATTACCTCTGGGACTAAACTCTGTTAACGCCCACTGATTCTGCCTCCATCCAGTGCATGATTAATACAGCCCTCTAATGGGAATATCACCTGTTTAGAATGAGGAATTAGTATTACTCACTTGGTATTTGCGGATATTAAAATCCTGCAGAGTTATGTTTAAAAGTAAAAACTTATACTTTCTTAATCCATTCAATATAAAATCCTTAATCAAAATTGGAATGATGTTCCAACCTACAAATAAATAAGTAAATAAATGAGATGTTACAAATAAGTCAATATATTATATTGGTATGATACAATTTCTTGTGCTGGAATTACAGTATCAGAGTAAAGGAAGAGTACTAAAGCACACCACACTTTTCAGGTTAGAATTTTGTTTATAGCATCACTTTTTGTTTAAATCAGACACTTTTAAAATGCAAATTTGATTAAACTTGTTAAAAGTAATTTTGGTTTTAATGAAAAGGTCCAGTCCCTTGTCAAGAACCTAAAACTTCACAAGACATTTTATTCAAAGCGGATGAAGAAATAAGTCAGTCTGTCAGAAAAAAGGAAATGCATACATTCTGGAAAAAAATAACAAAAAATACATTTTCTTCCTTTACCCTGAGATAATATCTTAAGTAGAAGAAAAAAAAAAACAACAACAATTATCCATGTGGACAAAGGTACGCTCTAAATTTCGATGTATTTACTCATCATGTGGAAACATCTAAATAAATGAAATGATCAAAGTCTGTGTGCCAGCAATTCCTTGAGAGAAATGTATTTAATTATTTTATCATTTAGAGAGGAGCAGCCTGAAATGCATTTATTTATTGGAGACATACACACCAGCTTGAAGATGGTAACACAAGCGTCAGTCTAACAAATTACTGCACTTAAATATTAATTAATCAAACCATGCTCTATATTTGAAAGTAATTAAGGGTTCAAATACTTTTATATTGATTTAGTATCATTAATGTTGCCTCATTTGCTTACATGATTTCCATTTTTGTGCCAAACTGAATGCTTATGGAAATGTGTTATTTTCAAAATGAAGGGCCTGACAGTTAAAGGAAACTATGATGAACTGTTTACAGCTTCGCCAGATAAAGAGGTGCATTAATCTGCTGTTCTGTTGCTATTTCTTTCATGAAACACAGACGTTGAAACACCTGAGTCCCTGTCACTGATCATTCAGCTGATTGCCTCCATAGATTTATCTGGATCCCATTGGGCTACAGAAGAGTAAAGGTCCAAATCAATGCACATTTGAAGCATACTACTTTAAAGCTGATTGCTCAGAGAATTTTTTTTATTTTTTTCCACTACAGAATCCCTTCAGGGCTGCTGCTAGAGTACACAGCAATCATTAGCCATATCCAATTCACCTCTGCCCATCTGATTCATTAGAATCAAACGTTCTAATTAGGACAGATCAGCCCGCTATTCCAGATAGAATATTCCTCTAAGGGATTCAGATATTCTCATGAGGGTATCTAGTAAATCTCCTGTTATGATATTCCTGCAAGTTATTTTTGAATGCTTGCCGGCCTTGAAAAGTAACCCAGTCTTTTCTTCCTTTAGCTAAGATGAAAACTAAAACAAATGTATTTTGGTAATAATCACTTATGCTGATAGTGCAAATATCTCTCAGCGCCTATTTAAAGATCACAACTCCACTTCCTCTTTCTTACACAAACTAACCCCTGATACATCAGAGGAGCTCTTTTCTTGTCTGCACAACATGTAGGCAACCTTCCACCAATGTGACATTCATCATGCATCCCCACTCTTTGCATGTTATTGAACATCCACCTCAGTCAGCACCAGGGGGAGTTGTGAGGTTAGTAATAAGGTGAGATGTAGTGGCGTTGCTGAGCGTTTTATTAAATGTGGGTTATGATGCATTTTAAACAGGAGTCAGAGCTGCAACAGATCAAAGCTAGTCAACAAACCCAACTTAAAGGCTTGTAGCATTGTATTATAATTATTAACCGGTTTTTTGAGATTAACCTGAGTACATTTTGCTTTTGACAGTGTTTCTTGCAAGTATTTGGCAAATTGTAGAGCACAATAATGCTAAACTAAGGGCTCAATTTCTTAAATGTGTTAAATGTGTCAACTTCAGATCTATCACACTGTAATTTTAACTGAAAGCCTTCTCAATAAGCAGTTTGTCTGGAAATTTATAAAACAATAAAATCATCTCAGCTGTTGAGTGAAGCTGATGCTTGATCTATTCAGTCAAACCTCTTTTAATCCATTTATTCATGGAATATTTAAATCTATAATTATCATTTGCAGTGTTTTTATGGGACTCTAACAATTTCATCAACAGCTGTCACTTTATACACTGTTTT